ACTATTTAAAAATGAGTAAATCTCCGTCAAGTTTTGGGTATTTTGTAGATAATCTACCTCAGCTTAAATTTTTTGATTTAATCCCTATGGACTTGTCTCACTTAAACTTAACCTCTCAAAACTAATATCATTATATCTAATCTATTATGTGACGAGTATTTGACTTGGAAAATTAAAATATCCATCAACCATAAAAGAATTACCTTGGTTTTTATCAGATGAAAGAAAAAGAGGTGATATAAAGGGAAAATAATTGTAAATTGGTTATGGTCCTTTTATTATCAGTTTAGGGTCTCTTTTTTATTATATTGCTTTCTTCAATATGGTATTTTATCCAAATCACCTATTGAAGTAACTACATTAAGAGAGTTTGTAGATAAAAGTGTAAAAGATTAGGGGAGTTATTATGAGACACACTATAGTTGAGAGATGTTTTCTAAAATTGCACCAAAATTAAGAGGGGTTGTTTATAACATCCCCCAGAATAAGGGGTTTTGTCAAATTGAATTAGTTGAGTGGGTTTTTAAGACATCCCCATAGTTGAGAGGGTTTTTTAAAAATTAACTATTCTTTTAAATATGACTTATTTATACTTTTTCTGTCAAGACTTTAATAATTTAATATTAGTCCCTAAAATTATAAGCAATTTAAATTTTTTAGGAATAACATAGAATTAGTGGACATTTAAAGTTAAGGAACTAATATCTAAATAACATTTACATATTTGCTCTTACAGGTATTATATTAAATATTGGTGGATATATTGCTATATCAGCTAATATATCGAGTTAAAGACTTTATCTTGATAATATTTTATACTATTCTTTTGTTTGGTAATTTTTAATATCGATCGCTATTGAAAATAGGGCCGATATATCCCTTTCAAAATATCAAGAAAATCATGTCATTTTTATTTGATTGTGGGCTAGGGTTTGGATCGTGTTTGGGAAACAAAACCGGAGCCCACAAAACACACAAAGACCACAATTCTTCTCTCAAATCTCTCCACTCTCACCTCTCCCAAATCTTAAGCATATATCTTGATGCAAATTCTTATGTTTAAAATTTATTAATATGTTAGATTACATATTACAATATCATGTTATGTATGAATATTATCTCATATGACACCCAGTATTATATACATATCCCTGATTTTTGTCCGATATCATGGATTTTATTTGTTTAATATTTATCCGATGTTCAAACTTTATAGTAGTCATTCGAACGCCTCTTCTGAAGTTTTCTAAGCGAAGTATATAATTTTAGGAAATAATTCAAAATCTTGAGACTCATTTAAAATATGATGCTTTAATTTTTTTTAAAATCTCCTTTACTATATAAATATAAACTATGCACGTGGCCTTATATTGTATGATGAATATTATTTATCAATGAGATCATATACTATTGTTTGTAGATAACAAATGTTTCAAATCTTTTATAGGCTTAACTGACTTATATACCTTATAATTTACCAAATGAAAGAAAAAGAGGTGATATAAAGGAAAAATAATTATCAATGAATATTATTTACCACTTGTATCTTGCTACACTTTTTTTTAATTTAAGATAGTGTATCTTGTTGCACTTAAATATCCTAATGTTTTTTAAAATTTTATGCTTGTACCTTTTGTCCTATCATCTAAACATATGAATGCTATTTGTAATTTTCCTATATGAGTGTCATGATATAATTTTAGACAATTCTATATTTTTTATTCTTTCCATAAATACTTTATTAACATACAATTATTTATTAATATATTATTATACATTACTAATAGTTAATATGATGTAGAGTTTTACAATAACGTTGAAAGTTTTAGGAACCAAATTATACAAATTTAAAGTGTCATATAATATAATTAATTAACATTGATAATTAATTTAGTTTAGTTAGTATTATAATGTAATATCAAAAAAGAATAGGGGTAATATAGTCTTTGGAAAGTTTTTTCACAACTCTCTCTTTTAAAAGGAGTATGATATGATATGATATGTGTAGTATATAAGTATGTATGTATAAGTATATATAACTGTATATATTAATTATATATTTGTTATAAATTGAATTAATAAATACATATATATAAATACTTGCGTATCTATATACTATTTATTAATTAACAATATAACAAAATATTTATTAATATATTTTTATATATAGATATACGAACATATACTTATATATATACAATCATTTTTCGTTCAACCTGCAAACTACACAACTCAACACACAGATCAGAACGTCCATAGAGTTTTGTTATTATCAAACAAGATTCATAGACGGTCATACCCAACAGTTTGACCCCCTGTTGTGGTGGTGCAATTGTAGGCGTTCAATTTCTAGATCCTAGTTATATATATACTCTCCATGAAAACTAGGTTCTAGTAAACGATATCATTCCCTGCTCTTTATATGGCTTTCTACATTGACCCCTTTTAGCATTCTTTTTCCTAAAAAAACCCACCACCCTAAAGTTGTTTATGTATTTGTTTATACATTTTTCTAGAGTGTGGACAGCCCATTTCCCCTTTCTTATGTACCCTTTTCTTCCTTTTTATAACAAGTAAAACCCCACCCCTACCCTACTAAACAATTGAATTAGCCCCTAACTAGCATTTTTATATTCTAACCACTCTTCACATGGAATCACATAGAAAATAGCACAATGCAGAAGGGAAAAGGCCAACATCTATTAAGAAAACAATTAGGCTGACATCTTCACAGGGAATCAGGGTTTTTCACATGCTTAATTAACACAAATACCGAGATTGCTTCCGTGATTTTATCTTAAGCAAGTTTGTGATCCCAAGAAGGTTACCTATTATTTGTCTCTGCTTGATTCTGTCATTTTGAAAGCTTCTAATTATGATGGCTACTTGCCTATTATTGATGATTGGTCATTCAGAGGCTTCGCCATCTAAATCTATGTTTATGTTATTAATTTGATATCGACTCAGACAGGAAAGGGACTTTCATATCACCTAAGTGTCCATTTGAACACTAACGTGGGCATGATTTGTTTTAGGAGATTAGACTAGACTTCCACTTCACAATTTGAGGAGTATAATCAATGTTACATTAAACGTTGGGCGTTTCTAGGCGTTGGACTTGATGCCCAGCGCTTAGTCGTCTAGGCGGGCGTCTAAGAGGTTTCTGGGCGTTTTTTTTTCTTTCTTCATTTAAGTAGTGGTCGATGAGGTTTTGTTGAAGGTCGGAGGAGGTAGTAAAGGTGTTCATATTTGGAGGTTAATGGAGTTTGGACGACGTATAGGCTACGACACCTAAAATCACAATCAAGACCTACACGGTGCAATCCACGTAAACAGACAATGCTCCCCTAAACGCTCGTAAAATCTAGGTGGGCAACCTAAATACCGCCTAGGTGCTAGGCGCTAGTTAGGCGGTCTAGGTACCGTCTAGGTCTATGCGTACGCCTAAGCGGACTAGGCGGAGGTTTTTTAAAACAGTGAGTATAATTACAAACAGTTGGTAATTACCTCACGTAACCACTAAAATTTACTGAAACTTTGATCAAAACAATTCCTTGGGTACCGTCTAATGGAGACAAGCTAGTCTTTGGATCCAAGTCCAAAGTGGTTGTGCTTTCTTTTAAACGTACCGCACTTGACTAAATAAGAGCTAAAAAGTTAACTGCGCGCTAATCACTCTTCCAGTTCTACGAACAAAACTCTGCACACAATTTTAGTCAAGAAGTGAAATAAAAAAAGTGAAGAAAAATACACCAACCACTTCATATATGTATAATATAAAAAGTGTGGAAGAAAATTTTTAGAATATTCTTCCCGATATTTCCAATTTTTTTTACTGTAATTTTCCATCTCATGTTAATTCATTAGATCCCTTGTCATTCCATCCACTATGATGCATTTTTTTCTTATTTTTTTAATATCTTTTTTCTATATCCCTTGTTATATGTCCTTCTTCTCTCCCTGCACCCTCATCTCTCTCTCTCTCTCTCTCTCTCTCTCTCTCTCATTTCCCTTTCAACACATATTGGCTTTCTATGACCCCATGCTCAATCTAGACCAAATGGGTTGCAATGGGATGGCCTCCTCTTCTCCCTTCTTCCCTCCAAACTTCCTTCTACAAATCCAAACTCCCCATGAAGTGGAGGATCACCATCAACCAACCAATCATCTATCTTCTCTCCTCCCCACAAACCCCCAAGACTTCAGAGGTAATCACACCAAAACCTGATGTTTTACGCAACTTTTCGTTTAGTTGTGTTTGGCCAAATGCGTGCAAATTAAAAGAGCTGTTGGCAATTAAATTTCGTGTTGTAGGTGTGGGTGCAATGCTGGGGAAGAGATCGATGTCCTTCTCGGGGATCGAGCCCTGCGAAGATATCGGCGGGGAGGACGAGCTCTCTGATGACTGCTCGCAGGCTGGGGAGAAGAAGAGGAGGCTTAACATAGAGCAGGTGAGGACGTTGGAGAAGAACTTTGAGATTGGCAACAAACTGGAGCCTGAGAGGAAAATGCAGCTGGCTAGAGCTCTCGGGCTCCAGCCGAGGCAAGTTGCGATCTGGTTTCAAAATAGAAGGGCGAGGTGGAAGACGAAGCAATTGGAGAAGGATTATGATGTGCTCAAGAGACAGTTCGATGCCATCAGATCAGATAATGAATCTCTCCAAGCTCAGAACAAGAAACTCCAAGCTGAGGTAATGAACACTTGTTTTTTAAATTTATTTATTCATTGGGATGGGCAGAAAATCTTTTTAGAACAGAGCATGAAGTTTTATAGGCTTGTTTCTGTTTGGTAGGTAATTATTGGATTGTGATATCATTTTGAGTCTTTTGAGAAAGATGGTGTATTTTTCTAATGATTGGATATATTATGGTTTCTCCTTCATTTCCCTTTATTTAATTTGAGACCTTTTTTTTTTCCTCCCCACTTCAAGAGAACTGCCTCCTTGACATTGAATTGTAGAACTATGATCTTTTCATCTCAAGATCTGCTTCGCTTCTTTAAGTAGTTATCATCTCTCTCTCCAAAACGTCCTATTCTTGAAATAGACACTGAAACATTTAATTAAATGTTTCAGATCTTTACTCTTGGCAGATCCAATGATAAGGCACTACTTGGATTACTTATTTTCTTCTTATATAGCTTTTATTATCTGACAATTTAATGTTTGATCTTTTTCTAGAATATAAGAAATTAGCATGTCCTTGTGAGTTCTTGAAAATATTTGCATTCATTAATTTCTTCATATATGGTATCTCAGTCTTTCAGCATCAACTTTTAATAATTTATGGGCTGAACAAGTTATAAAAATATTGCAGATCTTGGCTCTTAAAGGTAGAGAAACCTCAGAACTGATCAATCTGAATAAAGAAACTGAGGGATCTTGCAGCAACAGGAGTGAGAATAGCTCCGAGGTCAATTTGGACATTTCAAGAACTCCAGCCATTGAGAGCCCTTTAAATCCTAACCAGAGCATTCCCTTCTTTCAATCAATTAGGCCACCAACAACAATGGTTCAACTTCTTCAGGGCCAAAACAGGCAAGAACTCCCTTGCCCTAAGATTGAACATAACGGTGTCAACGACGAAAACTTCAGTAACTTGTTATGTGGTATGGATGATCAATCTGCATTCTGGCCTTGGTCCGATCATCAAAATTTCCATTAATATCGATTCGTTCAAACTCCAAGAAACTGAGGATTTTCGCGGCTAAATGGCGAATGGATCAAGAACTTGAGCCGAGTAGAGATTTATCGAGTTACGCCGTGTATTTTCTTTTTCTTGTTATTGCTATTGTTATTATTATTGCTATATTGGTAAGTATGTGAAATAATATTATGAGTTGAAACCAGGTTTAAATAGATAACGTTAGATGGTTTTAATTGATTTTTGGTTCATGCGTATTACATGCATTGGCCATGAAATAAAGGACAAGCTCTTCTCCTTTGCATCTTTATCTCAATGCACGATAGTTGTATATGAAACCCTATTATTAATGTGAGTATGAAACCTTATTAATGTGCTTTGAATATATATAATCAGTTATTAGGCTAAACTTTTAAAATCACCACATTTTTTGTAATTCAGTTACTGATTGGTACTTGGATCTCTGAAGCCTCAACTTTCCTCAGACACATGTATATAGCCTGCATGTGATCAATAGTTGATGTGTTTTGCAATATGCATCAGTGAATGTGAATCATTATTAATTTCTTTGCTTTCTTTACACTTCGTGTGGAAAAGAGGGATTTTTCCTTTTATTAACCCCAAGTAGAGAACATTTGTCTACGTAGTTGGTAACATAAATTTTTGTCATTGATGTTGTCAATGTCAATGTAACAACTGTCAAATCTTGCAACAGGAAGTAAAAAACAAAAAAAACAAAATAAAATAACAGTCCATATGCATGCAGGTGATACTGAATATAAGAGGCTAGTCCATTTCGTAAAATAAACTATTTGGAGATAGGAAGGGGTAGATATATAAGCTACAATTTGACTTTCGTGGACATTCCCACTGGTCTATATAACTGTATAGCACATTTAGCAAAATGAGTAGTCATCTCATATTTCCATTAGTCTATATTAATTGTTGATAGCTCCCTATTTTTTGTTCTGGTTTTTTGCAATTTGGTTCCTTTGTTAGTTTTCGATTATGCGTTTAAACCATGACCGTGTTCTCTCTTAACCTGCCATGAGGAATTACTAAGTACCCCTACTCTGTAATTTCTCTAGAGGATCATGTAGATTCTTAGAGAGAGTAAGCCGATTAATTCGGGAAGAAAAATAAGCTGAGGGAATTAAAGCTTTTTCCATCGTAGAAGAAGAAGAATGCTGAGGATTTTGACTTTTTAATTTGCGGCTTTTGGATTTAAACTAGTTAAAGAAATGAGTTGGTTAAACATAATTGAGGGGGTGTCACTGGAGCTCCAATAAAAACATTAGATTTGAAGGGATGTTAATTTCCCTCAGTTCTTAGAGTCATCTAATTAATTAGAAGGACCAAACGTCAACAACTAGCATGACTTGAGGGACTTAGTAGCAATTCCAATTCTTTGAGAGACTACTACCAAATTATAGAAGATTTGAGGGGCCAATATCCTTCTTTTTTTTCTTTTTTTTTTTGGGGGGTGGGGGGACTCATTAGTTTAGAATTGAGTACTAGGCCCTTGCACTAAACCAAACTACTAGATAGAAAGAGAGAGAGAGAGAGAGAGAGAGAGAGAGAGAGAGAGAGAGAGAGAGAGAGAGAGAGAGAATATGAAGTGAGGAAGAAGAGTACAAAGGGAAGGAGTGGGAGGAGTAGAGGAACAAGACAATGGAGGTGTTTGGAAAGGGAACAGTCTTTGGTTTCAGTACAGTGATCTGCTGACAAGGGGGCATCCCCCTCCACCCCTCTCTCTCCCCCCCATCTCTATATCCATGGCCTCAAAAAAAGAAAACAAAAAGTCTTGCTTCCAAGATAAGAAATGCATGTGACCTACTGTCACCCACTTATATGTATCCTCTTTTAGTACTCTTGTCACACTTGAATATTTGTGCACTCATAATAATTTATTAATATTTACACAATTGTGATTTTCGTTCGTAACTGTAAATTAAATAATAGATGGTTGTAATTGAATAAATAGACCCAACCTAGACTGATATTGTTATCGTAGACTAGAAATCTAAGTTCACATCACCCGTGAAGTTATATTGATGCTATTTCTAATAACTGTTTGTTTGGTTGTGAAAAAGTACTAGAGAGAGGGAAGTTATACTCTCATAGTATTCTACGAATCATTTGTTTGGTGATATGCCAATACTTATAAGTTGCCTGTTGATACTGATGTTATTGTGAATGTCATCTCATGCATATTCTTTGAGCATGCAATATCACTGAACTGAATGAATCACTATATATGACTGTAGGTAATTAAACAGAAAGAATACTGCTTGTAAGGCTAAGTTTTGAATTTGATTTTTAAAACATGGAAAATATTTGCTATAAGGTCCTGCTTGGCAAACACCTCTTAACCCGATTAAGTACTCCTAAACCATGTTTGGATTGGACTAGGCAGAAAGGGGGCAAACTAAAATAAAAACCGGGTCAATCCTCTCATGACTTTTAACAAATATATCATTTAACCCCTTAATTAATCAGATCAATAATTTGAACCATGTGCACGCAACTTAATTAACACATTTTTAATTTAATTTAAGATTCATTTATAACTAAAAATGGACAGAACAAGGAACGCTGTTGATAGTTACATCTTACAAAAATAAAATCTAAATGTCCTATGACCCCTCATCTTTATTCACCCAATTCAACTCCCAAGTCAAAAGGAGTAGATCTGAAGGCAT